AATATAAGTTGCTTTTATTAATTGAAAAATACTGACAATAAAAATGTTAATTTATAACGAAACTCTTTAAATCGAAAAATTAAACATAATGAAAGAAAGAGAAATACAATAGATATATTAGTGAATTCATTTTTTTTTTTTTGCTGGTTATTATTTTTGTTTTCGTTTTTTTATTTTTTTATTTATTTATTTATTTTTCCAAATTTGATTTGAATTTCTCCTCCGTACCCAATAATTTGATCTCCCCACTCCACTCATTTTTAGAGGAAAAAAAAATGAAAGAAAGAAAAACCGTTCCGAAATCTTTTTTAGATTTCATTTTTGAAACTTAATCACTTTTCTGACCGCTACATTCTTTTCTCACTCTCTATTTCCCTCTTTCCTACTCCTCTTTTTTTACTTTTTTCTGCACCTTCTCTTTTTCCTGTTCTACTCCTTCTTTCTTTTCCATTCCTCTCATTTCCTCTTTCTTATTCCCTCTTTCCTTCTTTTCCAGTCCATCAATCTTTCCCTCTTTACTTTTCTTTCTTTCTTTTTTTTGTATCTTCTCTTTTTTCTTTTTCTCTCCACTTCTGTCCCTTTCTTTCTTTCTCCATCTCTTTCCTTCATTTTGCCCGTAGATCGTAGAGAAACATTTATTTCTTTTAATTTAATTGAACTATAGTTTATTTGCCTTTCTAACTTCGCATTGGTCGACCAAAACAATATCATAGATGTTCGTGGCTAAGTCAAGAATTTAATCCCAGTTTTATTTTATTTATTTTTTGTTTTTGAAAAGTATTTCTTTAATTCACTTATTTCTTTTTGAGTTAAAATACTAAATATTGTTAAATTTGCACACATCTAGGTGTGTGCAAAAGTTCTTAACGCTCTTTTTAAAATAAAAATAGAAAAGAAGACATTGAATAACACTTATTTTAACATAAAAAAGCTAGGAACTTTTGCACACACTTTTTGCACATAATAGATATTATGGTTTGCAAGTTATAAAATAAACTATAATTTTCAAACTGAAAACGTGATAAATGAATAAAAACATTGTTTAAAATGTATTTGATCAATTTTTTTAGTATTTCAAGCGATGAGTATATGTAATACCCTATAAATTCTATATATGTGTATATATAAATTTATTAAAATTCTCACTTAGTAGTAATTTTGTTGATAGTTACTTTTATCTGTCCGGTTTAGTCGATTTCATTTGCTTGAAGAAATGAAGAAAACGTTTTACCCTGAACAAATGAAAAGAAAACTTTAATTAGCCATTATGAGCGTTAAAGACGAAAATAATTTCATTACCAGGCGGAAATTGTATCGTATTCAATTGTAAAGTCGTTCTTAAAGCATTTGGGATGTGAATAAGTCACTAAAATGTCAAGATAATGAAAGCAATTTCACCTAATAGCGGAAAATGGTCAGATATGCTTACATCTCGTTCATACTCCCTCATTATATATACAGTGTAACCCGGATATAAGAGAGTTGTCGGGACCGGAGAAGAAGTCTCTTATATCCGGGTTTGGTCTATTTTGTTTAGGTAAGTATGGGCTCTAATTTGAGACCAGAGAAAATCTCTCTTATATCCGGGTTACACTGTAATAAAATAGTTTTAAGGTATGCTACATTTATGCATAGAAGTGTTCAATATCAGAGAGAAATGAATTGAACATACATACAAATACATATATATATATATATATATATATATATATATATATATATATATATATGTGTGTGTGTGTGTGTGTGTGTGTGTGTGTGTGTGTGTGTGTGTGTGTGTGTGTGTGTAATTAATAGAAAATTAAATCTAAAATCACCTCATATTCATAAGCTTATTCTCCTTATGAGGTGATTTTGGATTTTATTGTCTACTGATTTTCTGCTCTGTAATAATAAATACATTGAGTTCTTTTTGTGGATCAGTTTTAATATTTTATATTACTAGGATCCACTTGGATTATATACCAATTCATTTATTACTTTTATTATATATATATATATATTAAACAATATACATAATATCTGACATTAATTGCAAATAGAATAAAAATAATATTATAATTCCAGCAATTTAAAATTGTTTCAACATTGTTGTGCAATTAATATGTTATGTATATTGGTTAATATATATATATATATATATATATATATATATATATATATATATATATATATATATTTATTAAATAGCTCTATTACTTTACATTGAGCACTATTTTTTTCTTACACTTATAGCATATTTATATGATTTATATCGCTCGCTCGTATACCTAGGTATATTTACCCATTCGGTCTTATATATATATATATATATATATATATATATATATATATATGTGTGTGTGTGTGTGTGTGTGTGCGCGCCTCACTGAATAATTTAAACAAGTTTTGTTTACCTATTTTCAATAGGATCCTCTCATATTCACGGACAAGATTCTTAATATCCTTATGAAAGGAAAACAGAAAATTACCATATTGATATATATTCATTTATTTCGAGAATTTGATACATTATCACAATGTCATCATCCAGGTGTTGTTTTTTTTTTTTGGGGTCTAAGACAATAGTTGTTGTGTTCATTATATTTCTAAAACAAAATTGTGTTCATCTGAATGTTAATTTTTTTACTTGTGAACTGAAAAACGCGAAGGTTGTGTACTGTGCGATTTAAATTTCATAATGTAAACGTCAGGGGACACTGCCAAAATATAAGATAGATAGATAGATAGATAGATAGATAGATGGAAACATTGAAATATATGTACTTCAGAATTTTCTCTAAATGTGTGTAATTTTGTTTCGTTGAATAAGTCTGACAACATGCTTTCCTTTAGATTTTTACTATGTTTTTATTGCATGCTGAAAAGTTTTGTTTTCTGAAATTTGTCGATTCCGATTGCTTTCAGCTAAACTATTAGTCGTTTTCAAGGATTATTTTTTTTTTATACACCTATAATAAATGGCGTGTCAGTAATATTGTAGATGGTACATTATTAGTTATATTAATATAGCGAAAATACTTGACCTCAGTTTAAAAATACTTGGAAAATTTTAGCACTCGTAAGTCCAGAAGAGAAAACCCTTTTAAGTATAACAAAATCAAAAACTCAACGAAAATACATGGTCATTCTTTGACAACTAAACATGTATTAAAGATAGAATTACTACCCAAATCGACAACTAAATATAATTAATTGTTTAAACGTTATTTCTAATGGATAACAAAGTAGATACACCGCTCATATTTATTTATGAAATACTATATGTATCTATTTCCATCTACCGGCCTGAATACACGAGAAATCTTTTTCGTCTAAGCAATAAATTAAAAATATGTATGATTAATAAATGAAAAATCCATTACTAATATATATATATATATATATATATATATATATATATATATATATATATATATATATATATATATATATTATATCGAGAAACAGAAATTTCTATGTTTTGTAACTTTAAATTTGTTCATATATATATACAAATATATAAATTTATATATATATAACACCGCCGTAGTTTGTATATATATATATATATATATATATATATATATATATAAAACTACAGCGGTGTAATATATATATATATATATATATATATATGTGTGTGTGTGTGAGTGTGCTGTAAAATATTTAAAAAAAATATCATTAATACATGCATATATATATATATATATATATATATATATATATATATATATATATATATATAAACATATACACACAAATTCACTTGGACCATTAACCTTATATATATATATATATATATATATATATATGTGTGTGTGTGTGTGTGTGTGTGTGTGTGTTGGTCAATATGTCTAATGCCTAAAGAGTCATTAGCTAAAAAATTGATCTGAAATTTTCCATGTATAATTCTCGGTTTATGTGATCAATGAAAGAATGTTAGTCATAAGTCCATTGAGAAGGAAGAAGATGATTTGGAAAAATAAGTTTTTGTTATTCAATATATATAGCATTATGTACTTAATGATGAACCTGCATACATATTCCGTGAATTGTGAATAAGTTTTTAAATTGTATATTTATCTTACTTCACAATGTTTTCATTGATATCCGTTCTCTTCATTTCGTAAATTTCATTTCAAAAAGAAAAATAAAAAAAAAATAAAAAAATATAATTAGACTGCAATCAGTGTGAATTTTGTAATACTTGGAAATTCTTCGATGCAGATATGACAGACAGATAGAAAGAGATGGAGAAAGATAGATAGACAGATACAGATAGACAGACAGAAACATAGATAGATAGATAGATAGATAGATAGATAGATAGATAGATAGATAGATAGAAACAGGCAGAAATAGATAGATAGATAGATAGATAGATAGATAGATAGATAGATAGATAGAAACAGACGGGAAAAGATAGAGAGATAGATAGATAGATAGAAACAGACGGGAAAAGATAGAGAGATAGATAGATAGAAAGAAACAGACGGAAAAAGATAGATAGAGAGATAGATAGGGAGATAGAGAGATTCATTTTTTCATTATGATACATTCTCAACTATGCTCATATTAAACATTGCCAGAAATGTTATGTTTGATTAAATCACCGATAACTCAATTTAGAATATATTCAACTTGCGAAGTATACTGTTTTTCCTTCTTTAATTTAACACATTCATTGATATATTCATTTGTTCATTTCGAAGAACACGATCCTGATAAAAACAAAAACAAAACCAATTACATAAACATAAATACAAATATGAAATTCCACATTTTAACATAATTGTAAGTAAAATAAGAACAGAAAAAAAATGAACGTCTATGTAGATGATGCTTGCGTGCCGACAGAAAGGCATTGAAAACATATTTTGAGCTGAGCTAAACCAAAAAAAAACAAGCAACTTTCGGTTTGATGTAAATCAAAAGATGAAAAACTATCGGCACAAAAACGTATCTTTTATGCTGAGAAAAGTGAATTTACATTTGCATTTAACTATGTTTATCTAAACTCAAAGTGTCCCTTTGAGTTTCTTTCTGATTATATTATAGAGGGGAAAAAAGAGTTGTAAAGGAGATGGTATCCAAAAGAAAAAGGGAAGAGAAGGAAGGAAAAGGAAAGAAAAGAGAAAAAGAAGAAACGCAAAGGAAGTAAAAAAATAATGAAATAAAAAAATGAGAAAAAGGAAAGAGAGAAAAAGGAAAGGGATAAAAAAAGGAAAGAGATGAAAAACGGAAAGGTGGGAAAGGGAAGGGAGAAAAACGGTAAGGGAAGAGAGAAAAAAGGGAAAGAGAGGAAAAAGGGAAGGGAAGAGAGGAAAAAGGGGAAAGAGAGGAAAAAGGGAAGGGAAGAGAAGGAAAAAAAAGGGAAGAGAGGAAAAAAGGAAAGAGAAAAAGGGAAGAGTAGAAAAAACGGAAAGAGAGGAAAAAAGGAAGAGTGGAAAAAAGGGAAAGAGAAAAAAGGAAAGAGAGGAAAAAAGGAAAGAGAGGAAAAAAGGAAAGAGAGGAAAAAAGGAAAGAGAGGAAAAAAGGGGGAAGAGAGGAAAAAAGGGGGAAGAGAGGAAAAAAGGGGAAGAGAGGCAAAAAAGAAAAAAGGCAAAAAAAAAAGACAAAAAAGAAAAAAGGCAAAAAAGAATGGGAAATAAAAGGGAAATGAAAAGAAGGAAGAAGGAAGAAAAAGAAGAAAAAGAAGAACGAAAGAAACGAAGTCGAGAGGAAAAATATGAAAGAAATAAAAGTAAAAGCGGAAAAAGAAAGAAAAGGAAGAAGAAATGAGGGAAAAACGGAAACAAAAATGAAAGAAACAACGCCAAAAACAAAAGATGTAAGTAAAAAAAAAAATAGGAAGCGAAATTTTCAAAGTAAAAGAAAGAAAGAAACAATATGAATAGCAGAAAATATAAAGGTAAAAAAAAGCCAGAATTTTTTTTTAAAATAACGAGTAACAAAAAGAGACGAAAAAGAAAAGGACTGAAAAGCAATTTTAGAAAGAAAAGGAAAATGCCCGAAAACAAAAAAAAAAAAAAAAAATTACTCCTCTCTCTATTTCTCTTCCCACTCTCACCCTAAAGTCTTTAGTTATTCATTTATTCTGGTAGCAACAAAAAAAATTCACCTGTTGTCATCTTTTGGTGTGTGGGTATGTCATGTATGGCTACAAGGTTCAGAGAGGAAACTGCTTCTTCACAACACACGCTCTTGTCATTCGCCGTCTGCGTTGGTTGCATTAGTTTCCACATCACAGACGGTAAAAAAAAATAAACAACACACACAGACACACACACACACACACACCTCTTTATGTAAGTGTCAGGTCATCGATGCAGAAAAATAGGAATATTTTTTTATATATATTTTTCTCCAGTAAACAAAAAAAATGCCTAGAAATATCCCGTTTTTATATTGTTATAAGTTAAAAAAATAAAAATGGTTAAGGTTACCCGGCGTTTCTCGGATTTACTAGTCTATCATTAATCTATTGGGGTATTTTTATTTCATGCAACAACACGTGTATTTGAAAATCTGGGACTCTTTCTAATAGAGATATTTCCTTTAGATATTTAAAGAAAAAAATTCAACAAGATATTAGTCACAAATTCGTTTATTTAATCTCCAAGCCACTACTATTGTACAGATTAAGTTTGGTTGTTTAAAGAAAAAAATTATAAAGAACTCTTAATATAACATTCTCATGAGGAAGGCTGGAGAACACAGTGACCGAAACGTGT